TAACTGTGAGAATGAAATGGGTTTGATGCCTCTAATATGTAAAAAACTATTGGAAGCACGGGCCGAAGCTAAAAAATCTATGAAAATATATTCAAATGATCCTGTAAAACTATCATATTTTACATCAAGATCAAACGCGTTAAAAATTTCGGCCAATTCCATTTATGGTGAAACTGGTTACCTATTTTCTCCTTTCTATCGAAAGACGATCGCTTCATCTGTCACTGCATTTTCACGTGAAACTATTAAAAAAGTAATCATTTTCTTGGAATCAAAACAATGCAATATTATATATGGTGATATTGATTCGGTCTTCTTTACGATTCCAGAAACTCATTTCTCTGAAATTGACTCTCTCTATTCTCATGATAAACAACTCCATTATTCGGAATCTATAAAAAAATCTATAGAATTCACAAAACAGATCACACCTGCGGTCAACTCTTTTATGGAACAAAAAACAGGGTTTCCGTTTATGAAAATGGCATATGAAAAAGTTCTTCATCCTTCTCTTTTTCTTCACAAAAAGCAATATGGTGGCATAGTTCATGAAAATGCTCCTGATTTTACGAATCCAAAACTTTTGATAAAAGGTTTAAAAATCGTAAAGCGCAATGTATCTTTATTCTATAAGACTGTTGCCACAGATCTTATTTGGTCCTGTTTAGGGTTTAATGAACAGAAACAATTATCGGATTCGGAATTAAAATCGCCAAAAGAAATAGCTCGAGATGTGATTTCTAAATACACTTCCGCGCCTATGTTAAATTTAGAACTATTCAAATTAACGGCGAAATATGATCCAACCCATAGGAAAAAAATAGTTACTCTTCATGAATTCATAAATGAGCACCGATCAAAAAAACAAACTTTCGACGATACAACATCTGAGAAAAAAAACAAAAAAGGAAATACTATGGTTCTTAATTTTGCTGAACGATATGAAAAAACTGGCAAAAAAATGGTTCCTGGTCGCTTCGAATACTACATTTTGTATCATATGCAAAAAAAAATAGATATTTCCCAGAAAATGTGCTTGACGAAAGAATA